AGCAAAACAATTTAGAATATAGGCAACCGAGGCTTTCCTTTCCTTGGAAATTTCGACACTTTGGCCGAGTGGTTAAGGCGCAAGCCTGCTATTACATAATAGCCTTGAGAGCTTGTGGGTTCGCCCTCGTGAGTTCGAATCTCACAGGTGTCGCATATATGTTTTTCTTTTTTTTTTGTCTTTTATTTTTGCCCCGACCATCTATCTATCAATTGAAACACATAAAGAACAGCTTCGCAAGAACAGCCTCATCATTAATAAGTAATATTTTTAATACAAAGATAATGAAATCATGGGATTATGCTAAACACCACCTTTTTGGGCCTGGTGAGGTACATCAAATCATAAACTAAGCAGGTCATTCATCAGCACGTCTAGTTATCCAGGGCCCCATTGGCCTTCGCAAAAGCCTGTTCAAAGTCCGCGATGATGTCGTCAATGTGCTCTGTGCCGATGGACAGACGAATCATATCCTCAGTGACACCGCTGGCAATCTTTTCGTCGTCCTCGAGTTGCTCGTGGGTAGTCGACCAGGGGTGGATTGCGAGAGTCTTGGAGTCACCGACGCTGCACGAGACAAAAATATGTCAGCAAGCAGTTTTGAGTAAGACGGGCGTTCAAGAGAAACTTACTTGGCGAGGTTAGAGACCAACTTCAACGAGTCGACAACCTTCTGTCCAGCCTTCGCGTCACCCTTCACACCAAATGAAAGCACGCCACCAAAGCCCCTAGGCAGGTACTTCTTCGCCAACTCGTGGCTGGGGTGGTATTCCAACCCAGGATAAGAGACCCAGGCGACGCTCTCGTTCTGTTCCAACCACTTGGCGATCTTGAGCGCATTCTCACCGTGTCTCTCGCATCTCAGGGACAGCGTCTCCAAACCCAAGAGCAACTGCTGAGCGGCGAAGGGGTTCAATGTGCTACCCAAGTCCCGCAATGTCTCAACGCGGCAACGGACGGCAAAGGCGTCCTTGCCGACTGCGTCGTTGAAGACGAGGCCGTGATAGCCCGGGCTGGGCTCCGCGAACTGGGGGAATCGATCCTTGTGCTCGGCCCAGGGGAAACGGCCTGAGTCGACGACGACACCGGCTATGGTGGTGCCGTGGCCGCCGATCCACTTTGTGGCGCTGTGGACGACGATGTCAACGCCGTAGTTGATGGGCTGGCAGAAGTAGCCGCCTGCACCGAAGGTGTTGTCGACCTAAGAACCACCAATTAGTCAGACAACGCCGATAGC